ATGGGCAAGGCAGCTGGGAATAAAAGGCAGCCGTGGAGAAAAAAAACAATCTCTGCCCTTGTAGAGTTTCGTTCTAGTCACTGGGGGTTGGGAAGAGATAGAAAATAGCCAAAACAAAGAGATGACAGAAAATGTTAAGGGCAAAAAGAGAAAAAGCAGAGAAAGAGATTGGGGAAGGTGGCTGTGTTAATGTGCCTGGGCAGAGGTCCCTGAGAGGGTGACACTTGAATGAAGACCTGAGGAGGTGAGGGACGCTGGGTGCCACGTGTACATCCTGCATATCGGGAGCAGCAGGTGCAGATGATGGGGGTGCAGCTGTGACTGATGAGTGAGAGAAGGGGTCAGCAAACTAGGGCCTGCCTGTTTTGGTAAATAAACTTTTATTTAAACACATGCTCATTTACATCTTGTCTATGGCTGCTTTTGTGCTACCACCACAGAATTGGACTCATTGCCACAAAGACTACATGGCCCACAAAAGTGCAAATTTTTACTATCAGGCCCATATAGAAAAAGTTTGCTGGCCCCTGAGTTAAAGGATCCCCAGACCCACGTGGCCGAGTGGGGAGAGCAAGGAAAACTATGAGCGGGGAGGAGGGGCGGGAAGGGTGAGCAGCCCACATCCATCCTCTTGGGCCATGACTAGGACTTTGGTTCTGACTCTGCGTGAGATCAGAAAGCACTAGGGAGTTTTGAGCACTGTGGACACTACCCAGTTTATTTAGCAGGACTAATTGCTGCTCTGGTGACTGAGCACTTCTGTCTCCCTTGTTTCTCAGGACAGCCTGCAGAAGAATAATTTTTAGGCCCATATCTGTGCACATACTCCATGCAGGTTGGCAGCGAGATTGGACCGTGCAGAATTGCACTGATGAGAACACTGAGGCTCTAGGGTGTGGAGCTCACCCATGGATGTCCATCCAGCGGTGGCCAAGCTCTCCCAACTCTGACTACTTCCCAGGGGTGTGGTGTGGACACACCTTGGTGAGACCCACAGTGTGTCTCTGAAGCTGCATGGCCACCATCTCACGTGCCATCTCTGAAGCTGGGCACATTGGTGCTGACACCTGTCACTGTGAAAGCATCCCGAACCCAGCTTTTTGTTATGTAGTCCCATACTTTTCATAAAAGAGCAGTCATTACAATTACATTACAAGTAGGTGGGCCTACTTTTTAAGGAGGTTGCTGGGGGTGCTGTTGGCTCCCTGAGGGGTGTGAGAGAAGAAAAGGACCAAGTCCAGTCTTGTGACTGCTGATGGGAGCAGTCAAGGTGTCCTCTCAAAGACAAAGTCACAACTTTTTGGTTTGGTGGGTAGAGGATGAGATGGTGTTGAATTTTGGGATAGGAAAGTGCTTTTCTGTACACCTGGCTGCCTGAAAAGTTGTTTACTTGCCTCTGCTGTTCAGTAGGGATTTGCATGGCCAACTTGGATTGTTTGACATCATATGAAAAGAATGTTTGTGTGATAACCAAAGGCATATTTAATTTAGAATGACCTGTTTTTCCTTTGCAACCCTCCTCTTGAATTCTGACAGATCTGCAGCTACATAGCATTTAAAAAAAATTCTTTTTCTTAAGGTTTATTCATTGTTCAGAGACGGAACATAAGTGGGGAAGGCTCAGAGAGGGAGACACAGAATCCGAAGCAGGCTCCAGGCTCTAGGCTGTCAGCACAGAGCCCAGCGCGGGGCTCGAACTCACGAGCCATGAGATCATGACCTGAGCTGAAGTCAGATGCTCAACCAACTGAGCCACCCTGGCGCCCCTGCTTAGCACATTTTTATTGCCCTGGATTTCTCTAAAAGCATGTGCTTACAGTTTTCTATGGCCGCTGTAACAAATTACCACAAATTTAGTGGCTTAAAACACAAATTTATTATCTACAGTTCTGGAGGTGAGAAGTCCACAGTCAGTCTCAGCTAAAATCGCGCCATCAGTATGGCTGCATTCCTTCCCAAGGTCCTAGGCAGTAATCGTTTCCCTGCTTTTTCCAGCTCCTAGAGGCCACCTACATTCCTTGGCCTGTGACCCCTTCAACTTCAAGGCCTCTCTGACTTCTTCTGTTGTCACATATTCTGGGACCTGACCCTCCTTTCTGCCTCTTAGGAAAATCCTTGTGATTGCTTTCTGCCCAGTCAGATGATGCAGGGTAACCTATCTCAAACTCCTTAACTCACATCTGCAAAGTCCCTTTTACCATGAAAGCTAACATTCACAGATTCCAGGGATTAAGATGTGGACATCTTTTGGGAGCCATTATTCACCCTGTCACCTGACCTTTCTTCCTACTTCACTGAGAGACTATAGCCTGACAGGCTGTTTCACACGCCCCTCCCCCACTGCCCATGCTCGCCCCTTCTTAGCTCCTTCTTTCACTAGGGGTGGGAGAGGTGCTGTGCTGGCTTAAAGCCAGTTGTCCCATCTTGTTTGTAAAGCCCAAGAGTACAGGGACTCTCAGGGTCCACACCACATCCTTCAGGCTAAAGTTGCTGGACATTTTTTACTCCTTTTATTTCACTTCTCAGGATTTTGCATGCTTGAATGCTCTTTCGTAAGTGAAATCCTTTTCCCTTAGCTTCTATGTACCCCGCCCCCCACTCTCTTGTGTTCCTTCTCTTGTGGTCAGGACACAGTTAATGGTATTGATGATGGGAGAATATGGAGACTGTTGGCACACTGCACCCAAAACCTACAGTCCGTGGCATGCACAAGCCCCCATACTTGTCACTAGCCATCTAAGGTACTTGTGGGCTCCCTGGGGTCTCTGGTGAGGTCCCTCAAGGTTAGAGGCACCCTGTATTGCTCAAACTATCTTGGGCCACATTTTCTCACCTACTTTTGCTCCTCTAGCCCAAGGCTAGAAAACCATGAGGTAACCCTTCTTGAAAGCAACCCTGAGGCTCTCCTGTAATGGAAAAAGAAAACTGGGAAGATGAGACCAAGAAACACATTTTTCCCCGAGCTGGTATGCTTGCTCTGGTTTTTGGGACTCCGCACACCCTTAATTTTTAAAAGAAATGTGAACTAGTAACTAAAATTACTAGCTGTAATTTTAACAGCTACAGAAGGGAAGAAAGAATCTAGTAAAGAAAATGCCAAAGCACAGTGTTTCTTATGAATTACCTGGAGGAGTTTGTTTTTGTTTTTGTTTTTTGAGGGAAGACAGTTTGGGGTGGAGGGTCCTATGGAAACCTAATGAATTCGTCTGTTGTGGATGACAGACACTGTGGATCTTTTGCTTTGGCACAGGTGAGGGGTTCATCCCTCTCCCTCACTCCCCACATCTAGTTAAATCATCTGACATAAATGCAGTGTTTGGGGTTAAAAATGTCATAGGAGTAATGAGAGAAGGCCTCAAATGCTAGAATAAGAGCTTGGGTTGAAGTGAGGATAGTTGGGGAACCAACCAAGTAGATGAGATTCTACCTTCTAAACTTCTGTAGAACCTGTTCCTCCTTCTCTTCCTCATTATCACAGCCTGGCTTAGATCACCTTCAAGTCTTACAAGAATATCTTCAGTGGTGTTTCAGGTCTCAGAGTCTTGCCCCTCTCTACATTACAGCTAAACACAAGTCTTTTTCAAACTTTCCAGAAGTCTGATCTGACCACCCGCTGCTTAAAGTCTTCATTGGTTCCCCATTGGTCCTCCATTTATTTTTTTAATTTATTTATTTAAATTCAAGTTAATCAACTTACAGTGTAGTATTGGTTTCAGGAGTAGAACTCATCCCAACACGTGCCCTCCTTAATGTCAGTCACCCATTTAGCCCATCCCTCCCCCACCTCCCCTCCAGCAACCCTTAGTTTGTTCTCTGTGTTTATGAGTCTGTTATGGTTTGCTTCACTCTCTGTTTTTATCTTAGTTTTCCTTCCCTTCCCCTATGTTCATCTGTTTTGTTTCTCAAATTCCACATATGAGTAAAATCATGTGTTATTTGTCTTTCTCTGGTTGACTGATTTAGCTTAGCATACTCTCCTCCATTTACCCCAAACTCTTACTCCTAGCATTTGAGGCCCAACCTAGTTGGCTCCATTACCTCTCTAGCCCCATCTATTTTTCCAGACACTTAACTATTAAGTGGAACCTTCCCACCATGTCCTCCCACATCACCCCAAGCCTTTGCTCAGGCTGTGCTCTCTGCTTGGGATCCCCGTCCCTCCTCCTAGCTACTTGACAAATAACCACATACCCATTAGCAGTCGACTTAGCATCACTTTTCTGGAGAACCTGCTACTCCCTTCCTTCAGTAACCACTCTTTCCTCGTATACTTTTGTTCTCCCAGTAGACTTCCACTTGCAAACCTCTCTGTCCATTCTGTCCCACCTAGACTGGACACTGCTGTAGCCAGGGTTCTGTCATCTGTCGCCAGCAGGCTGCACTGGGCTGGACCTGTCACAAACCCCAATAAATGTTGAATGAAGGGACCAAAGTACTGTTGAGACCCTTATACTCTTTAAGACCTGGCGAACTAGAGTTGAGTGAACTTGAGAGAAAATACACACTTTTGAAGAGCTGTTTGCTCTTGGGCAAATCATTTAAATTCTGAGTCTTCATTTCCTCAGCTCTGCCCTGCCTCAGGATTCTGTGTAGTAACATATGTGAGGTACCTGATACTGTGCCTGGCTTACTGTAGGGGCTCAAATACTTATCACCCTCCAAGCCAGGAAGCAGAGGAGGAAGAGGTGTTCAGTCAGTGGGCGGGGCATTAGGGACGTAAGGGGAGGGCACAGAAGCCTAAGACCCCAGTGTGCTTGGATTTCTACAACTGCTGGCTGCCTGCTCTGTCTTGGAGACAAGTGGAGTTAGGTAGATGGTGGTGGGGGTGACAGATCAAGGACCTGCCAAGGCCAAGCCCTCCCCGGGCTGCCAGAATGGATCAGCCCTCAGTGACATCACAATCCTCAGGGGTTACCAAGGCACTGCTGGAGGCGAACCCTCTTATTTCTCCCCACGGAGCTCTAGGATGTGGATGTGAGAAAGGTGAGCAAAGAAGGCAGATGGCGACGAGGAGCAGCCCCAGCCCCATGCCCGTGGGCACGGCTCAGGGTGATCCTGGAGAGGCAGGAACACAGCCGGGTCCTGATGCTGGCATCCGGGAGACTGGGTCAGCCACTCAGCTGAAGTTGAAGCCCAAGAAAGTGCGCAAGATCAAGGCACTCATCATTGACCTGGGCTCCCAGTACTGTAAGTGTGGCTACGCGGGGGAGCCGAGGCCCACCTACTTCATCTCCTCCACTGTGGGCAAGCGCTACTCCGAGGCCGCCGATGCTGGCGACACCCGCAAGGACACCTACGTGGGCCATGAGCTGCTCAACATGGAGGCGCCCCTGAAGCTGATGAACCCGCTCAAGTATGGCATCGTGGTGGACTGGGACTGCGTACAGAGCATCTGGGAGTACGTCTTCCACACGGCCATGAAGATCCCCCCCGAAGAGCACGCCGTGCTGGTCTCTGACCCCCCACTCAGCCCCAGCAGCAACCGGGAAAAGTATGCAGAGCTCATGTTCGAGACCTTTGGTATCCCTGCCATGCACGTGACGTCCCAGTCGCTGCTGTCCATCTACTCGTACGGCAAGACCTCGGGCCTGGTCGTGGAGAGCGGGCACGGCGTCTCGCACGTGGTGCCCATCTCGGAAGGAGACGTGCTTCCGGGCCTGACGGGCCGCGCCGACTATGCCGGGAGCGACCTCACCACCTACCTGCTGCAGCTGCTCAACGAGGCCGGCCACAAGTTCACGGACGACCACCTGCACATCATCGAGCACATCAAGAAGAAGTGCTGCTACTCGGCACTCGTGCCTGAGCAAGAGCTCGGCCTGGGCCTGGAGGAGGTGCGCGTGGACTACGAGCTCCCCGACGGCCAGCTCATCACCATCGGCCAGGAACGCTTCCAGTGCGCCGAGATGCTCTTCAAGCCCACCCTGGTGGGCAGCAACCAGCCGGGCCTCCCCGCGCTCACCTCCGCCTGCCTGGACCGCTGCCAGGAGGCGGGCTTCAAGGAGGAGATGGCCGCCAACGTGCTGCTGTGTGGTGGCTGCACCATGTTGGAAGGCTTCCCTGAGCGCTTCCAGAGGGAGCTGAGCCTCCTCTGCCCCGGGGACAGCCCTGCAGTGGCCGCTGCTCCTGAGAGGAAGACGTCCGTGTGGACTGGCGGCTCCATCCTGGCCTCCCTGCAGGCCTTCCAGCAGCTGTGGGTCAGCAAGGAAGAGTTTGAGGAGCGGGGCGGGGCGGCCATCTACAGCAAGTGCTGAGCGGCGGTGCCCTGGTAGGCGAGGCCTGGCGGTCAGGTGGCCTCCGGCCACTCTATACACATTTACAGAATTTCACATAAAACTTTAACGTGCACTGGTTCTTGTGTGGTCTGGATTTCTTGCTCTAGTCTGACAGCAGGTGGTGGGGATTTGGGCTTAGAAATCTCTGCACCTTTGGCTCTGCTGGGTCAAGAGTAGCAGGTGGGCGGTGGGGCAGGGGGCTGTGCCTCACTGACCCATCCCCCTGAACCCCCAGCATGAAGGTGACATCGTCTCAGAGCCCAGTGTGTTCCCTTAGCTCCTTGGAGCTCAAAACACAGCTCAGCGACATACTGCTTGTTTGTCTGTGGGCCAAGAGGCAAATAAAGGCTCATATTAAGGGACTAGCTTGGGACCCGTTGTCCGGTGGGGGTGGGAGGCTTAGCCAGGTGTCCTGTTTCTGGCCCTGATGGTCACATCTTCCTACTGCTGCACACAGCTTCATCCTTGCTTGATCTCCCAGGCTCTCTCTCTCACCCCTCACTGCCTGCCCTTTTCAGGGGCATAGACCTTGGGCATGCATCTTCTGATTGTGAGGGGCCATTTCCCTACCAACCCCAGCCAAAACTGCAGCTACTTTTGCACTCACAGAGCAAAGCCACTGAATCTAGAAAAACCAGAAAGCCCTTTAGAAATCACGTGATTCTCTCCCTGCTGTAGACATGGGGAAACAGGACCAGGAAGGAAGTGCCTGTGTCAATGGCTGAGCCCAAGTTTTCTGACCTAGGTTATGATTGTTTCCAGAAGGGCAAACATGGTTGCTTTAGGGTGAGCTGCTATAACAAAATATCATAGACCAGGTGGCTTGCAAACAATAGAAGTTTATTTCTGGATGCTCTAAGTCCAAGATTGGGGTGCCAGCATGGCTGTGTTCTGGAGAAAGCCCTCTTCAGGGTTGCAGACTGCCCACATCTTGCTGTGTTCTCACATGGTGGAAGGGATTAGGGAAATCTCTGAGGCCTTTTATAAAGGCACTGATCCCATTCATGATGGCTGCCCTCAGACCTAGTCAGTTCCCAAAGGCCCACCTCATACTGTTAATCTTGGACATTAAGTTTCCAACATGAATTGGCCAAGGGGGATGGTGGGGGGTGGGGAGTCTAGAGCAATGGTTCTTCATGGTTAGCAACCATTAAGCACTTACCAAGCACCTACTGTGGATGGAACCCAGAGCTGGAGACAGAATGACCAGAATGTGGCCCTTCCCTTGGGATTGCACACAGCCAGTGGGAGATTGGGTGGTCACCCATGTTGGTAGGGAGATGAGGCCTGAGCTCAGTGTTTCTGGGGTGGGAAGGTGGAGGTGGTGTATTGGAAAGCTGTAAATGAAGAAGGGCTAAGTGGGGTGACCACTTGGCTTCAAGACTGAGGGTGAGTGTCATGAGATTTCAGTTGAGGGATGAATGTCCAGCTACAAGAGGGTGGCTCCTTCCTATTTCCCTGCTCCCTTCTGCTGTCTGTGGGCTTGGACACTGGTGAGCTCTGTTATCTGATGGGCTACTTAATTTTCCCTGAGCTGCCTCTTACCTTAGACAGAGTCCTGATTTGGGGTGGTCCATGAGGCTGTGTCTGTCCTGGGCCTATGCTGGAGGCTGTGTACTGGTGAAAGAACCAGATATGGTCTTTCTTGCCCAATGCCTTGCCATTTAGTCCTTCCCCATTGCCCAGAATTGGGTTTCTAGCCTGGGGTTTGAGTCCCCTTGGGACTGGCAGGGCCTTGGTGCTGTGCAGGCACTTGGGCTCTTCCTGTAGAGAGAGATGCAGACTGGGGGCCAGTAGGTTGATGGTGCCAGTAGGCACATTTTGTTTGGCAGGCACAGTGTATGTGTGTTTTCCTGAATGCGAATTCTTTCAGTGGGTCTCACATTCTTCAGGTCGCCCAAGTCTCTACCACCCTGATCTCTTCATGCATACCTGCTGCTGCAACATCTTTTGCTTAATTAGCCAGTATTCACTTCTATCGCTTGCACCCAAAATACCTTTGACAAATACTAATCCTAAAATCCTGATGAGATTGGACAAGGAAACAGGAAAGTGACGTGCCCCACGTCACAGGCAGAAAGCTAGCACTGAACGGCAACCCTCTTGCACATTTGATCTTGAAGATGTCCAGACACCACGCCTGTGTCTAGCCCCTGACCCCCATCAGCTCCTTGCTCCCCACACCCTCAGCAACTTCCGTCTCCAGTTATAGCTTCGCTGCCCTTGCTGCCTGGTTATCTCCTCCAAAGTTATCCCTGTGTGCCAGAGGCTGTAAAAACACTAATCACTTAATACTTGACATGAATTTGTTCAAGCCAGTCACAGACACAACATTTAATTTTGGTGGGAAAATATGGATCAGTGACTTCCTGCCTAAAATGACCAACCAAACGTGTGTTTATTTCCTCTCCCTCGTAAGACTGCGTGATAGTGGAAGAATACAGATGTAGACTCCCACTGCAGATGAGGATGGTAGAGACACTGCAGGAGGCCAGAGATGTCTGCCTGATTCTAGAAGGAGGAAAGTGGGTGCAGGGCAGGAAGGTTGCAGTCTGAAGCTTGCAAGAGGCTCCCAGTAGGGGAAGGTGACTTTCCTGTCCTGCAGAACAAGTAGGGTTTGGGGACTTGGAAATGCCAAGTAGAGGAGATCTAAAAGTGAAGTTTGTGGGACACAATGGGGTAGGGGAGGGGATGAGAACTGATGGTCTCTGAGAGCACAGTCCCCCTCCCTCTCCCTGCAGGTAGAGGGGTGAGCAGAATGGTCAGCCTCTAAGTATGACGTTCACAGGCAAAACACTGAAGAGCTCTTTCTGTGAGGGCAGTGCTGGTACAGAGAGGAGGAGTGTGGGTGAAGAGCAGGTCATGAACTTGGCCTGCATCCCCTTGTTCCTCCCCCAGAGCACAAGCCACACTTCGTGGAATCAACAGTTGATGCCTTCAGTTCTGCCTCAGTCCTATCCCACAACTTCCAGTTTCTGCATGGGCATCACACGTGGCCCCAGGCTGACTCCCTCTCCAGAGCCAAGGGACTAAGCCAGTCACAGAGCCACCATCTGCCTGGCCGCAACGGTGGGCCAGGAGCGAGCACGTGACCTCAGTGTGCCGGAGCTGAGGCACAGGCCTTTCACTGGGAAGGTTGACATGGGATTGGTATGGCCTAGAACTGCTGTGGCAACGTTTCTTACCAAGAAGCCAACTTGAAGCTGACCCATCAGGGAGCATGGAACTCGGGTAGCTGGTGCCCTGATGGTAAGTGACATCAGAATGAAACAGAGCCTAGAGCTCCCTCTACTGTCAGACGGTGTTTCCAGGAGCCGATGCATTCAGCCTCCTCGTGACTCATCAGTGAGTGTATTGGCCACTTGCAACTGGGGACATTCCGCCTGTTTCCTTCTGAATAGTTGTGTTCCTCCAGGGCAGTTTGTGTGGAGGAGGGGCTGGGATTAGAGAGGGCTCTTATAATTGAAATTTTAAGACCAACACTTCATTTATTTACCAACAAAAAGGCTACTACATGGGAAGAATTTTTATCAAGATTTTAGAGAGTGTCAGGAAACAGTAAGGCTGAAGTGCAAAAACCTAAGAGTGTCTACTGGCCATTGTACTGTATTCTCTGGTTTAGATATTTGTCCCTGAGGTTGAAGTTGGAGCTCCTCAAGGGCAGGAAGTTTGACTTCCTCATCTTTGTTTTCTGCAAGCCCAGTGCAGGACACCACAGGGTGGGTGCTTAGTACATGCCTACCGAAATGACTTACTCTCAGTCTGGGAGGTAGAAGTTACAAGTATTTTCCCCATTTTACAGAGGAGGACACTGTGGCCTGGTGAGGCTAAAAATCGTGTCCCAGTTCAGCTGCCTGATAAATCAGTCTTGTGCTAAATCAAAGTCTTGTGATTCCCAAATGCCTCTTTGCCTTCGTCTCCTACCTTCCTGCAAATTACCGATTTCTTTAACCACGAAAAAAGATTGACATAAAAATCGTTTTCAAGTAACGATCAACACATATGGTATAATTTCATACTCAACTTGAGGTATAAAAGTTAAGAATGCCTGAGGTTGCCAGAGACATAAATAAGCAAGTATTAGAGTGACATCATGTAGTGAAATGCTACTATTTAGATGTGGCAAGCAGCCTGTCCTCGTCACTGCCTGTCTGGGCGGCCTGATCTCTTTTCCCCTAGTGTTAATTACCAAGTCTGCTCTAAGACTTATCTGCAGAAGATGGGTTTAAGCGATTAATTTTATTACAATACAAACTATTAATGATGTTCTACTTGACGTTAGGTGGGTTTTTTGTTTGATCCTACATTTTCCCGAAATGTAGAGGTTCTTGACCATGGGGAAGAGGGAGTGTGGGCCATTGGTTATGCTGGAGCTAGCTCTTAAAATGGCTTGTGAGAGCCCGTTTCCAAGCCATTTGTTAAGTTGTGATAGTAGCTTGAATTGGGCAGGGTGGGAGTATTGGCCCCCACAGAAATCAGCAGATGTTACAAATCAGGGTCCCCTCCACCACCGAGAGTTTGTTTACAGCAGGGAGCAGGAGAGTGCACGAGGCATGGTGGGCAGCAGAATCGTCTAGGGAGCTAGTTCCCCCAAAAAACCAAACAACAAAACTGGTGTGGACCATCCTCCTGGACTGAATCGGTAGATCTGGGGAAGCCCCTCAGAATCTGCAAGTGAGAGGTTCCCCTGGGGCCTGGTAAAGAAGCTGCTCAACAGTGTGCGGGGCCACACTAAGTACAATGTAAATGTTCAGAAGTAAATCGGGAACTATGGCATAGGTGGGACAAGCCAAAGGTGCTGGGTGTCTGAGATGCTGCTCCTTTGGGTCATAATGCTTCTTGTTACCTATCTAAACTCTAGTCTCCCTCAAAGGCACAGCCCAATGTCTGCTTCTCTGGAAGGCGTTCCCTGACACGTCCAAGCAGGGCACTTGCTCCCTGCGCCCCTTTGCGCTGCTGTGGCCCTTGCAGGTCTGCAT